AAATGTTTTCTGCACCAGAAAACAAGATATAAAACTACTATAATGTTCTCTGCTGGATCTACACATAGGGAGTGGTGATGTTTTCCAGTGGCAAGTTAAACACACATAAAAAACTGACACTGACCTACCCATGAAGTAAAATTAAACTGCGTTCGACACAGCCACCCTGTTGTCTCAGCCTGACTTCTAAATTTCTCAAGAGGGAGTCACCGAGGACTCTTCCAGTTGCTTAGCAACTGCCTTGGGGACCTCACAACATGGACACCATTTCAGAAGGCACAATGTGCCATAATTTAAACAAGTTCTCAAATCTGGGCTCATCACATTTGTAGTATTTTAATTTTCACAACTAAGAAGTTCCACTTACAATTTTCTGCTTCATTTTATTTTCTTCAAAAGTGCTTTCAGCACTGCTGAAAGGTACCATTAACGGAAGCGTTAAGTTCTTAAAATTTATCCACAAAACAGGTATAGCGCAATTAGTGCATTGAAAGCCCTCATACTGCCCTGCCCATTTCTATGAATTCTAGCTTAGTGGGGCTACCTTGGGAGATGGTCCATTCTGGCATTAAACTCCATAAAACTATTAGATCATCTAGTCTTACCTCCTGTAAATATCACCAGCCATTAAATTTCACTCAGATACCCCTATATTCGACCCAATTATTTTAGTTCAACTAAGCATTCAGTCCTTAGGAGACTAAGCTACTGTGTGCCACAAGCAGAGACCAGAGGAGATCTAGGTATCACCAAAGCCTGAGGCCCCTGAAATGGCAGGGAACTGATTTGGTGAGATAAGGCATGGATCGCCTGCTAGGGAAAAACAAAAGAAACAATACCAAGGTCTGCCAATCTGACCTAGGAGAAAATCCCTTCCTAACCCCAAATCTGGGGATCATTATGATTTGAACATATGAGCAAGAAACAAAGCCTGGTATTTAAGAAAGAGGATTCTCTATGCCATATCAGAGCACTGACCCACTCCATCAAGTGTCCTGTCTCTGCCTGTGTCCAATTTCTGATACTTCGGAGAAAGGCAAATAACCCCCAGAATACATCTGATCACATGTGCCTGGGGAGGCATCCTTCCTCACCCCTGTAGGTGACTGGCTAAAGCCCTGGAGCATGAAATTTGATCTTAATGTAGAGCTGCAAGTGTTATGAGCATGTTGCAATGTAGGCAATCCTGTCCTCCACCCCCCCAGACCATGAAGGAAGGGATGAACTGGAGGATTCATAGATTAAGGCCAGAAGGGACCACTACAAATATTCAGCTGAATTAAAGCATATATTGTAAACTATCTAATCTCACTTTAAAGACTCCAGCTGAAAAGCAGCTCAACTGCCACACCCACTCAATTCTTAGTCTATATCAGAGGTTCTCAAACTGTGGGTCGGGACCCCAAAGTGAGTCCCAACGCCATTTGTATGGGGTCACCAGTGCTGACTTAGACTTGCTGGTGCCCAGGGCTGAAGCCCAAGCCCTGCCGCCTGGGGCCAAAGCCCAAGACCCCCCCGGGGTCATGTCGTAATTTCGGTTGTCAGAAGGGGGTCGCGGTGCAATGAAGTTTGAGAACCCCGGTCTATATGATGAAAGCAGCAAATGTGCCAGTTGTTA